GGGGTGATTAAAGTCGGAATCATTGTAGTACCTGCTAGGCTAGCATTTCCACAAGTCATGAAACGCGTCCTTATAAATAATGAAATGATAGAGTTGGTAACGGTCACGAGCAAAACATTGTTTTAATCAGATTTTTCATTAAATTTTAACCTAAGTAGACGTAGTATTGCTTTTACTGTGGCTAAGTCGGTAGAACGCCGTGTGAAATGCCAGAGGAACAGTCGAATCTCTCCCGACCAAATCACTCGAATTTGAGCTCGAGCCATTCGCGACGAGTCGACTTCCAAAGGGTGTAGTATTAGTGATGCAAGAAGCAAGCAGCCTATTTGCTAATTGCAACATTAAATTGAAAAGATGTGTACTTTTTTTTATTCGAAACGGTTCCACGAGAGGATCAAAACATTGCGACTAATCTCTTCTCCAGATAGGTTAATGAAGATTGAAAACGCGCTCGTCCGAAACGCCAACACTTTGTCTTGCAGCACACACAGTTATGCAGCAAAGCACAACGTCAGTGTATTGCCATCAAAAAGCTATGTGAAATCGTAAAGATGAGTGCATATGGACAAAACTGTTTCATATCGTGTAACGATGAAGACTTGTGCTTTAAAGTCTCGAGTCCGTTGGATACTTTTAACAAGTGAGGGACACGGAAGTCATGCAATATAGCGAAAAGAACGAGTAGTATTCTTTCGGTTGGGGTAGAGACATCTTGACGAGTTTCAAGATCGCCGAATTGGTGCGATCTTCGGCTGTAATTTTCGAGCTATTTCTGTCGGAAGAAATATAGAAGCAATCGACGGATCAAATTATGTGGACTCACGCTCGCAATAAGCTTCAGGGAATCGAAAGCATAATCATTTCTTGTATCGATGTGCCCGGCGCCCTTCTTCACTCTTGAATCACACATCCATACAATTAGTCTGCAGCTACAGTTACTCGCGCAATCTCATGGTATAATTTATAGGAAAGCCCTGCAATCTGGTCTCTCACAGACTTCTGAGAAAGCAAAGATCATACCAAAACCACTGCTTATGATGTCAAAAGCTGCACATGTTTTGGGCTTTTGAGAAAGCAAAGATCATACCAAAACCACTGCTTATGATGTCAAAAGCTGCACATGTT